CTGGTAAGACTTTTATCAGGGACAGAAGCAAAGGTGGACGGACACTTCGAACACAAAAGAATGTCATGCAGTGCCCTTCATGCTCAACCGACATCTCTGATTTCTTCCAAAATCCTCAGGTCTGTGGACACACCTTTGCTGTCAACTGTTCTCCCTGTTTTCTACAAAAACATAGTGAAGTTAGTTAAACTTGAAACACTAAATCTAATGGCATTAAAACACTTGTCAGTGAATACTGTGGTCTACCTTTTTCCTTTCAGCCCAGCGGCTAAATGATGCATTAGCTAATATCTTTGCATTTCCAAGCACAAATCTCTTGCCATGATCGGACATTTTGCTTCTTAATGAATTTTAATGTGACAGGTTAACAGAGATTAATGGATTGATTGAGTCACTGAACGTAAGACTGAAGAGAATGAAGATCCTGCTGCTGAGTTGAGTGAAGAAGAGACTGATGCAATGGAGGGAAATCTTGATCCAACATCTGCAACCAATGACACTGCTGCAAAATGTCTGAGAAAAGTGACATGGAGAGGATTTGCAGAATACTCCTGCCAAACGGACTAGCAAGCAGATGAAAATTGACAGGATGGGAAAAACGAGATTTATACTGAGAAGCCTGATGACACTGCTGAAGAAATGTCTGAGAAAAATGACTTGAAAGAGGATTTGCAAAGCACTCCTGCCAAACGGACTAGCAAGCGGATGAAAGTTGACAAGGATGGGAGAGAAAAACAAAATTTCGACTGAGAAGCCTGATGTTCCAGATGCGACACTGTAAATAAAGAAGTTCAGTCCGGAGTCCCTGATATGGCCACAAACACTTGTCTAACGCCGGTGGCAGCTCAGTAAAAGAGAGTTCTGGGGCACAGACTCCTGCAAATGGCAAACCCAAACGGATTAGCAAGCGGATGAAGTTAAGGATGGAGAGAACAAGACCTCGACTGAGAAGCCTGATGGTCCAGATGTAGACACTGTCTAAAGAAGTTCAGTCCAGAGTTCCTGAAAACTTGCCTAACAAGGTGGATCTCAGAGAAAACGAGTTCTGGAGTACAGACCAGAAGCATGAAAGCTCAAGCACCAACAGATGAAGGAGACTCCCCTCAAGTACCCTACATCTGCAGTCATCAGATGATGATTTCGAATAGCTTGTTGGATACCATCAGTATGCAACTTCATTTTGGCAGTGAAAGTTACTGCAATTTAAAGATACTATTGGTTGTTATATTTTCCTATCTTTTGGGAAATTGGGCTTGACCACAGCTTAATTAGTATATGATAGCTGATTTTTGGGGAGATAAACTGCGAATATTCAGTTTCTCCTATTCGATCCTAAACCAATATGTTTGATGTATTTGATATTAATGTCAATTGAATTTCAACATTTGCCCTTGGAAAAGTTAATTGCTCTTTTGTAACATATGCTTGCACAACGCAATCAATAATATTATACAAAATGCACATCATGGGCGTTAACACAATTGATCATGATTAGATGCATGTATATGAACCTGTCCTAGAAGATTCTTATAAAATAATCTATTATTATATTAGTAACAATAATTAATAAATCTATTGAATATAAAAATAATAGAATTAAATATCAATAAAATAAAATGACAATATATTCAAATTAACAATATCAATAACGTGTAAGAAATCTTTTAGAATGATAGGAAGAGATTCGAAGAATATAACCTTAGGATGAAAGCTGAGGTTTCTGTAACACAATTTCCTCAAAGCATATTCGTCTCCTTTACTTGGGTGCACAAGTATATGAGCAACGTCTGTTTCTTAGGATATAATGATAAATGAATAGCAAGAGAAGTTTCTATTCTCTCGAACTGAATTAAATATTAATTCCAAAAAAGGAAAATCTTATAAACTAGAGAGAAAATGAAAGATTAAAATTTTTTAGTATGTTTGAAACGAGAGAAAAACGTCTTTTTATACTATTTAAAGAGGGATAAAACATTAAATTTCACCATTATTTTCCATCTTTTTAATTTCTAATTCTTAAAACCTCCTCTATTAATCCACTAACCTTTCATCTTTCAAATTCTCAACTTACACCATCACTTTCATTCCATTTATTTCATTCAATTTAGTAAAATATTCCAACATGTATTCACACATAAAACATACAAATTATTTGTGTGTTTGAACCAACCATGTAAATCAATCAAAACAATGGATTTATTCCTGAAATATAGAGCGAAATTTCTGATAAAATTGGTGTACTTGTTTATTTATTTATATTTATATAAGCAGCATCAATTGGCAAAAGCAGATATGCATCCTGAAATAAAATGGGTGGTTACATTGCATGCTTAATTAATTTATTACATTTTATAAACTTATCTCATTATAGACACTAAAATTAAGGATCCAAATTCTCGAGAAAAACTAGGATTTTGAATATAGTTTAATTTTAATTTTATAATATTTTATATCTAATCCTTTTTTTTAAAGTCAAATAATCCCTCATAACTAGATTGACCAATCATCATCCACATTCCAGAGCTTGTCATTAGGGTAAATTACACAAACCTCCATGTGGCTTGTCTAAAATACATTTAGATCCTCTAAATTTGAGGAATATCAACATATACCCATGATTAAAAGTTGCATTTTTATTTTTTAGGGACCATAGAGTCATTTGACTTGAAAAAAATAAATAAAATCCAAGAAATAAGATTGAAAAATTGCATGAGGTACTTCTTGTTATGGTTCATTTTAAAGCATAGAAGTTATCGTTATAATTATAGAATTAAAAATGTATTGAATATTTGATATATGCAATCATGTAGTCGTCATGGCTAGAAAGAAAATGACGTGTACCATTTTAGTTGCCTATAATATATCATTTGAATTCTCTCTTGCTATTTAAAAATGACTCTTAACCCCAAGAAGTAATGCTAGAGACACCGAAATTTTATACCAAATTTTTGTATCGAAGGACATGACAACCATTCAGACACGACCATGCTGGAGTTTTTCATGAATGAACGACCGTCTAACATTTATGGATGCCCGTCCATATTTAATGGACTCTCATTCATATTGTATGGACGGGAGATGGACGCCTGTCCAAAATTTTTTAAAAGAAAAATAATGGAAATCCGTCCATCTTATATGAACAGGTGTTTATTTACTATGGACGGGCGTCCAAAAACTTTTAAAAAATTTTATGTTCAATGAACAAGCGTTCCTTTAAGATGAACATCTCTCCATTGTTTAATTTAAAAAATTTTACATTCAATTTTTGTCTCAATCCAAAAATCAATATTCATTTTAAAATTTTCAATTAGAATGTTTAAAAATTTAGGCCTCCCAAAACATGTTTCATTTCTCTCTTGCATTTTGTTTATAAATGAAAAAAAAATTGAAAATTAAAAAAAAAAAATTTGAGAATGGCACCAGTTTTCATTTCTCTCTTGCATTTTGTTTAAAATGAAAAAAAAAATTAAAAATTACAAAAAAATTGAGAATGGACGCCAGTCCACTCATTTGGATGGCCGTCCATGGACTGGCGTCCATACTTTTACTTAAAATCAATTTTTTTTTCTTTTATTTCATCTAAAAATGTTATACTTTAAAAATAAATATTTCATCTAAAATTATATAGACGACCGTCCAGAGTCCTCATAAGAGGACGGAGGTTCATAAACAATTTAGGCCAATTTTTTTTAGTTTAAATTATGAACAGGCATCCATTTTAGGTGGACAACCGTCCATATAATATGGATGTAAGTCAATTTCAAATGAACAATCGTCCAGTAACAATGGACGACTGTCTATCGTCCATATTTAATGGACAATCGTTCATTTGTAAAATATTTGGTAACGTGATACGTTGTTCATCTGATTCAGTGGATACGTCGTTCGGTGTAAAAATTCGATGTAAAACGCCAGTGTCTATAGCATTTTTCTAACCCCAATACCTCATATGCAGTTTTACTATTATAATGGGTATTATAGTTTTGTTAAAAATAAATATAATTTAATTAAATAAATTTTATTCATATTGCTTCTATTATTGTTATAAACTGTAATAAAACAATAATTGCAATTATAATTGAAATAGGAAAGGGACATGGAAAAGGAAGGTGAATGGGAATGGGAAAGGAAAAGCGAATTGTAACAGTAAAAGGACTGAGAATGGGAACGGAAACGAGAATGAGAATGAGAACTGGAATAATAATAGAAATGGAAATGAGAATAATTGTAAGAACTAGAATAAGAATAATAATTGAAATAGAAATAAGAACCCGGAACAGGAATAAAAACTGAAATGGGAACAGATCATGGCTAGAAAGATAAAATGACGTAGTTGTAACCATGTATTTATGATGTCGTGATTATGTGTTTAGGTTAAATTCCCCGACCTCCATGTGGTTTGTCCAAAATACTTTTAGATCCTCTTACTTTGAGAAAAATTCACCATACCCTCCTGATTAAAGTTGTAATGGAGGGATATTAGAGTCATTTGACAGGAAAAATTATTGAAAAAGAAAATAAAATCAAAAAAATAGAGTGAAATATGTGCATATGTGCTACTCCAAAGACCCATTTGTTATCATAAATCCTCGGGCATGAAAGTTATCGCCAACAATTTCGTAACTAAAATGCGATGATATATTCGATGCTACCATATAGTCGTTGTCGCTTGTTAAAGAAAGTGACATATACCACCTCGATTGTTTGCATTACCAAAAATTTATTATTACGTGTTTGATGTTCCAATTTCTTGATTTACTAACTTTCTATTTGCATATTAGCTATTGTCAATAAACTACGACTGAGGAGTAACTGTTTATTTACAAAACAACAAGGGTACAATTTAAATTTCCAAAAGTTCAGGGAGGAATAGAAAAGGTTGCGGGGTCAAAAGTTCTTTCTTTAAACTATTGGGGAGTTAAAAATTTATCCGTAGCGAAAACGTATTGGGATCTTGTTGCTGCTTTAGAAGTAAATTGAAACTGAGAGAAGCTAACGTCAATCAGATCAGACCAAAGTCTTAAGGTATCTGCTTTGGTTGCTCAATTATATAAGCAGTTAACTCAGCGTCCACTTAATCTCCCACTTCCTCTCTTCACAAAAATCACTGCCAAAAAGGTTCCTTTTTTTCTTTTTCTTTTTTTTTTTTTAATATCTTAAGTCCGGTTTTGGTTTCTCTTAGGGCTGCCTCTTCCCCTTTAATTTTTTTTTTTTTTTTTTTTTTTTCTACTTGGTCTTCTTAATATTCTTGAAATTTTATCTCTTTTCCGGTATCTATACCTTCTTCTTTATTGCACTGTCCAATGGATTTGTATCAAGTAACGTCTCGGTGATGGAATTTTGGGTTCCATAGTGTTCAAAATGCTTTCTTTAAGGTTAGTTTTTGTACCCATTTGTCTGTTTTGCTTAAATTTTGTGCGTGCTTGATTGCTGTTTTATTGATTTAGTTGTCTGTTTTTTCATGTGGGTATTTTGCTTTTGGTAATTTTCTGTAATTTTGGTGTGGTGTAACTACTATTTTTGTGCTTCAATTACGTGTTTCTTGTTCTGGGTTCTCTGCAGATTTTGGTTTTGTTCTTTCATAATTATTATTTTTTACTTTGTTTGTTATCCTATTGTTGGGGCTTTTAAGGAATGGACATTAATATTGCTTACTTTTTCGTGCTTGATTTGTACACTTCTGGCAATATAGGGATTTTTGGAGAAGGCATAGGAGGAAGATTTTTGTTGCAACAGGTGTTTTAGGAGGTGGGTATGTTCTGTATAAGCTATATGATTCTCAGCGTAGGCTTGCTGATCTGGAGAGACAACACCGTGAGCATGATGAAGTCATTAAGGCCCAGTTAAGAAGATCAAACTCTCATATTTTTGTTTTCTTTGTGTCATGAACTTTCTTTGTGTGAACAATGTACTATTCTGGTTCTTATGCTTTGTGATTTATGATTGTTTTTTGATAGAATGGAAGCCCACTTTGAGAAGGTTCAACGAATAGCTGATGCGACAACGTTGCCCCATGCAATTCACTATTTAAGCAGTCGGATAGAGGAAGAGCTGGCCCTTTCTGAGCTTACTGATAAGTTAATGAGAGGAAAGAAGCAGCCCAGCTCCTTGTCCCCTTCAGAGAAACTTGAGCTATGGGACAGACTGAAAATTTTAGGTATGCAGCTGTTACGTTTTGTTTCCTTTATGGTGCTTGTGACTGAGTGTTCTGCGAGTTCCCTTTGATCTTCCCAAATTATGGCAATTTCACCTTGATGGTGACTTGTGTTTCTCACTACTAATGTGGTTTCTGCAGGTTTCACAAAAATGGTGGTGTCACTATGGTCAGTGACGATACTGAGCTTATATATTAGAGTTCAGGTTAATATTCTAGGGAGACATTTATATATTGATACTGCTCGTGGCCTTGGAAGTTCTCAGTTACCTGTAAGGCTACCATCCTTTCTCCCTCTATCCCAAAGTTATTTGTTTCAGTTCTATCCCTTCACATGTTATAACTTCCATGATACTTTTCAGTATAATGAGTGTAGTGCTTGCTTCTCATTTGCATGCTGATGAATAGTTGATATTTCTTCAAGCCTCGATCAACCCCCCCACACTTCTTTTAAGCACATGAGAAGATGGATAGTTGATATTTCCTCAAGCTGTTGTTTAATCACCTGTGCAACACCCTCCCCAACTTTTATTTATTTATTATCTTTTCACATTAGAAGTTACATTTTTGTTGAAGGCTACTAGATTTACTTGAACTATGATTTAATTTCCTCTAATAATTTTTTTTTTCTTCTCTTTTTTCACACAACATTCAAAATATAGAATGCTATTCATGCATCCATGAAAATATGCAAATCCAAAATCAAACTTATTGCATATAGACAGTGTAAGTGGTATTAAAGTTAAACATTGCATCCATCCCTTATGTAGTCAAAATCCTGTATAGTTTATGAACTTATGTACATTGGTTTTAATTAGTGAAAGATGGAAGAAATATTAGTTTAGTATAGAGCGTTCTAATGTGGTGTATATTAATACCATAGTCATGGAATACGTTTGGATGTTCTGTGGAGGGATGGTGTTCTAAGCTATTTTATTCAGAGTTCAAGCATTGTGGAGAGTTAGTGATAGCCTGAGGATCTTTGATGAAATTGTGCTGTGTTTAAAAGAGAAAAAAGAGGTCTCGCATTTGAGTTAATTCCATTACAGGTTCAGGGTATTGCAAAGCTCAAGTGTCTTCTTGTGAATTGCGAATTTGGGAGCTCGTGTATGATTGACCAACGGTAGCGTGGAATTATGCTATTGTCCCTCATTGATTAAGATTCATCAATAAACCTTTTCTTGGGAGATTTAATTACAACTTTTTTTTTTTGTAGCTGTTTGTATTGATAACATGTGAGTTCATAAATCAAGAAGGTTGGGGTTGCAAACTGTGGAGGATAAATAATTTTCTAAATTTTCTGATAGAATTAAATTGATTTTCGCTGGTGTTAATAATGGAATTTGAAACACCCTGAAGTGAATAGCTGGCCTATCATTGCATAATGGATTAAATTTAAAAAGTTGTATTTGCATTGGGGAATTTGAGTTGGGAGAATTTTGTGCTGCTTTTATGGTCCAACAATACGTAACTGGAATTTCAGTTCTCTTAGACTTCTCATGATTGGTTTACTAACAACATCACAATTATCGCAATGTTGTCGTATAGGAATTAAGTTCAATTTCGATGACCTTTTGCTTTGTGAAAGAGCAATCAAGTTTTTAAAATTAAGTTACATCAAAGTTTTATGTTCTCTTCATTGGAGGCAGTGTTCTGTGCCAAGTTACCTATTGTGGAGTCCTTGCTGAAATTTTGATATTGTGCCTTAGCTGTGCTTGTAACTACAAAAGAACACTCTTTCCCACCCATAGAGAAAGGAACAGTAACCACCAAAAGGAAAAAAAAAATTTAGACAAGGGCATTTTGGAAAGATGGAAGGATGGAATAGATTTCCCTACTGAGTTGTTTGACTGGTGTGTTATCTGAACTGTATATTTTCTTTTCTACTCTCTCTGGGTGAGCTTGTAGATGAACTTTGGTTTAAAGGATGAAATCGGCAGTTCCCTTAATCCCTTGTATAGGTTCTTAGCTTTGATTTAATTTGTAGCATCTAAGAGTCCTCTTTTGCTTGAGCTGTGTTGTCTTAGCAGTGTGTTATATATATGTGTAGTATGCGTTCAGAGTGCAGGGTAGTTCTGAAACCTCTTTTTGACTTAATTTTTTTTTTCTTTTCAGCATTTCTTTTTCAAGATTTCCAAACTAAACATTTTTTTCTTAACTTAGTTAACATTTTCAAGATTTGCAATATAGTTGCATTGAAGCTGATACACTATATTGCAAGATTTCCTTTACATCTTTTCGTTTGAAACTCAATGGTCTGCCTTTCACAAAAGCTTCCTTCTACCCTGATTGACCATTTGCTCAAACATTCTAAGTATATTTCCTTCTTGTTTCCTTTACTTAGAATACTACATGTTATTTATGGCTTGGCTTCAAAGGGTTTCAAAGTGAGTTTACTACTAATGGTGGTATAATAGACATGGTGGTGAAGTTTCATTTCATGTTGAAAATAATTAGTAAAGGAGTGAAGAGATAGGTTCCAAGGATTTATAGAGGATAGGTAGGATAAAGAACAAAGATAGGCACCTGGGGTTCTACTTGGAGTGAGAAGTATTATTTATTTTTATTTTTTTAAAGAATTCTCCCTCTTGTAGCAATTGTAGAATTATATAACTCATTTTAATATGAACTTATTGATAAGAAGGCATCCTACCTTTGAGTAGTAACTCCTAGTATATGTTGCTTCACTTCCAGTTAATTCTAAATGACATTGTCATTCGCTTGGAAAACAATTTAAGCAGGCAAGTCGAATACCTTGTCTTCTTGGCCCCTGTTAGAAGCCTTTTTTTCTTTTTCCAGTTCCCCTTACATTACCTTTTGACAATTAATACCTATCAACAATTTGAATCTGCTAAGCAAGAAGAATATTTTAAAAATGGACACTTATAACATGTTATTGTTAATAATTACGTAAAATATTGGCGCCTGCTTATATAATGGGTATTATGATTGTTAATGTTTGCAAACATTAAATACACCTTTCATTATATACATTGTATCTTTTTGCTGTTAAAGTAGTTTTATGTCCTCTCTATGCACTCCAATGTTTGTTGTAACCTCACTAAAGTAGCCCTTTTAATTCCTCCACAGGAAGATGATGATTTCATTGACAGGGATGACCAGCAAAAATTTCTAGCAAGTGTCGATTTTCTTGCTAACTATGGCTTGCAGGCATTGATTTCTAATATTCAGGCAGCAGCAACCAATGTTATGAAGGGGTAAGGTCTTGCCATCTGTGAATTAATCATGTTCTGTTATTCAAATCAGAGGAGAGCTATCTCTTCACTTAATCTTTTGGCTTATGTAAGGTTTTGATGTATGTTGTTGTTTTGACTTTTGAATCAAGAAGGAATATGTTTGAATATAAGAGTATTATGCTTGCATATAGCCCAAATCAGTACCAATAACTTTGCAAACTATCCTAGAAATACAGGATTTTAGACACTTTATTATCTTATGTCTTGAATTTTGGATTCCACAATGTTATTAGCACCGTTGAGACTGAAACCTGGCCCAACTTTTTGCTCCTTTATCACTTTTATATATTGTACGGTGCCTCAGGAATCAAAAGTCTAGAACTCATATCACTACTGCTGTAGACAAATTAGAACAACTTTTAAGCAAACTCCCATTTTAACTAAAAGAGTATTGAACTTCAGGTCTCCTGTGAATCTATTGTGAATAGTTTTTGTTCTATTTCAATATTCAAATTGAGGCTGAATCTTGGCCACTTCTTATGTGCAGAAAGCAGTTGAGAGATTTCTTCGACACTCGAGTGCTTCATGAAACTGTGATGCAAATACTTGAGATGTTCATGAGCATGGGAAGTTCTCATCAGTGGGTTGATTTCTTGATGCCTGCAGATGCCAGGCTCTACAAACTAGCTACAGCCTCCGGCCACGAAAACACAACTCTTTCTGATGTTACCAAATTTGATCAGCTTATGGAGGAGACTCGAGCTGTCTTATTGAGGTATGTTCATCATACTGGCCTCTGAAAATGTAGGTATTATATTCACATTTGAGGAATGACAAGTTCTATTGTAGACTTTGATCGAAGATTTAATGGTCAATTTGTCCAACTCCACTGCACGGATGTGGAATTGTCTAGAAAAGCTGTAATGCTGGTTGACAAAATTATTTGGTCAAAGCCACGAACCATGCACCATCTGCATTACTTGTATGCTTATTTCAGAAGCTACACTTAACAATTTCTATTTTTATTAAATTCTGTGGTGAGATAGGGAATTGCATGGCTCCATTGCCTATAGGTGTCAAAGAGTGCTGTGGCCATGGTAGATGCAATTATCTGCTCAAGCCAAGGATAATGTTCTGTGACTAGTTGTAGTAGTTCTAAGCAATGAATTGCAATTATTAATTTCAGCTGAGTTATAACCAACCCTTCCATATAGTTGTAGTCAATTCAAGGATGAAAACATACATAACAGCTGCTTGCCATGATAAAGAGTTCAACGAATAAATTTGAAAGTACCCTTTTGATTTTTCATCTGTGAATTACTTTCAGAACGATCTTTTAAAGTTGTTGTACTTGGCTTGTCTAGGAGAAGAGAGAATCTGAAACCTATTATCACCAACAAAATCTGTTTGCTCTTTCATATGTAAACACATCTCCTTTTTCTCTCTTTTGCAGTGCCGAATATAGTAGTATTGTTGATATATCATTCAAAGCAGCGGTTGATGTCCTGGTGGATGAAATGAGTGTTCAATCTGGAGGCAGTCTTATGACAGGGATGCCACTGGCCAAACTCGTGCCTCGAGTCATACAAATGGGCCCATCGCTGCTGGATGAACCAAGCAAAAACAGGTTCATCCAAGTCATCAGAAACATACCAGAAGTTCAACTCTTCTTCACACTTCTGTATGCAAACATGTCAACCTAGTAGATTAGTGAGCTTGGACTGTACTTATTGTGGACAAGAGAGACATGAATGTAAAAAAGTTGAATGGGGGCTGGGATTCCATTCTCAAGATTTCAATGTGAAAAGGAATGAAGATTTCTGCATTAATTTGTAATTCTTTTCTCATCTCAATATATTGTTGATTACTTTGTGATGTTAAATTGTCCCCGTTAAACCCTGTCAAATGATGATAGTATAAGATTTTTATGTCAAGGGTTTTACCTTGGTGTATTGTTATTGGCTTCATAATGGAAATTTTTCTGTAAATTTCACACTTGTTTATTCTACAAAATTGTTTATTTAAAGAGAAGAATGTATGACCACCAGAATTCTCACCATTGAAGGGATAGCATCAAGATAATATAAATTGAAATACTCCCATTAAAAATTCTATTTTATGTGCGTTGTGTGATTAGTAATTACAACAGATCATGTAAGTCAGCAAGTGCCAGTGACGCGACAATATCATAAGTTATTGGGGTTATTTGTTAGTTTTATCAAAGTATTGTTCGTTACAAAACTACAGGGACTAAAAAACTAGCCAGTTCTTGAGTCTTACAATTACCCCCTCAAAACAAAACATCAAGAAACTCTCAAAACGGTCCTCCCAAATCTAAAACAAGAACTCCCGTCTGCCCTGAATTTACTGTTCTTTTTTTTTTTTCTTTCTGTACTCTCTATTACTGACCTCCCATGGCGAGCAATAGCAACAACGGAGATGTCCTGATGCTGGAAGCTCCACCGGATGCCTCCCGGCCATGGAACGCAGAAATCATCGACGCATTGCCCTACATCGACGACGACTACGGTGATCCCAGAGTCAAAGACGAGGTCGACCGCATGGTCAAGCAGGAGATGCGTCGCAGCTCAAAAAAGCCTTCTGATTTTCTCAAAGACCTCCCCCCTCTCACCAAGTTCAGTTTTCAGGTCCATATTTCATTTCTCTTCTTTTCTAGGGTTTCAAACAATGTTTCCTTGCTCTGTAAAACAAACAAATAAATAAGAAAATATAGATATTAAGAAAAAACTGTAAATAAATGATTTTTTTTTTTTTTTAGTTTTAGTTTGTTAAAGAATTTGTTGCCGTAAGGTTACTGATGGTGTGGAGCGGAATACTTCATTGTCGGAGGAAGATGTGATTTTAAGGAAATGTTATGGCCTGTGTGATTGTGTGGCTTTAATTTGGATTGCAGAATCATCCTATGCTTGCGAAAGAGTACGAGCGTGTGAGAGCTGGGAAGCCGCCTGTGATTCTTGATACGACACGGTATCAATTGGAAATGCTGCCTGTGAATAAGAGAAACGATGAATCTGCTTGGAAGCAGGCACTTCAGAAAGCTCAGCGCTTGTCACAGCATCAAGTGATCAGGTGAGATGAAGAATTCACTAAAAAAGGCAATATGTATGCAATGACATTTGGGTGTTGTCAATGTTCATGGTAAGAAGATGTGGATTCATATCATATAGAAAAATGCATTATCTTTGATTATGTATCATTAATTATTGTTTAATATTTCATATACGCAGCTTGTCATTGTAGTTATAATTTCTATTCAATAGTGTTTAAAATTTGAGTATTTCCTTTGGAATTTTTTATTACTTTGGATGGTTTGTTCTTTCTTACCCATATATTATGTTGCCTCCTTAACTCCACTAATTCCACCGGGCATGCATGATTTTCATATTAGAACAGTGGCATCTCTATATGTTTCTTATTAGTTTGTATTTTTTTAGTATTGACATCCGGGTATATGGAATTGGTGATTTCTAGGCTGGAAAATTTGGAATTGATGTCTAAATATGGTCCTGATGTCTGGAAGCAGCACAACCAACGATTAGAAGCATTCTTATCCAGGTTTGTAGTTTGTATTATTGCTCATCTTTGGGAAGTTTTATGGTGTAATAATTAAGTTGTTACGCTGTAAATGTTTTATTCTGGTGCACTTTTCAATGTTTCCTGATGTGCTTGACACTAGCTTTTGCATTTTGGAAATCTGAGGTTTTAATTTAATATATTCCTATCATCAACAGCATACCTTTACATAACTAGAATCCTAATTTGAGGAAACTAACTATATTAATCTGAATCAACTGATGTCCAATATAAGAAACTCATCTAAACTCCACTCGCCATTGTACAAGAAATGAAAATGGTAAATCAAAAACGTTAAAGAACACACCATAAGTTTCTCATGTGTGTCAAGTGATGTAGGGATGCTGCTGAAAAGGGTGAAAGAAGTTTAGTTAATGAACTCTAGGAATTTTTTTATGCTAAATGTGTGGTAAGACTGAAATTTTTGTAGAAAACTATATTGCTGTTCCATATCAATAAATTCATTTTGAGAAATGCTTTCTATTAATCTCATCATTCCACAAATTCAGTAACCAGCCCTTGAAGTTATCTTTCTGAGTTAGCTCTTTGTGATATGATATGACCATTCTAGTGTTGCAATTTACTTTAGCAGTTGCATTTTTTTATTTTTTTATTTTTTTTTTGCAGAATGCAAAGATTAGCGCATGAACAAAATGAAAAGATTGAAGCTGTAAATCGTGAAAGAAAATACCACCAGGTGATTTATATGTCTATCTCACATTGTGTTTTTATACTTTGTTGCATTTTATGTGTGGGTATTAAACAAAAGGGAATAAATTACTTTTCTGATCAATCCATATATTTATTTCTTTGAATGATCAGCAAAACACTGCATACGAGTTCAATGCTTTGTCCATGCAATGGAAGGAGCTTTGTGCAAAAAATATAGAAATCCAAGCTGCATGTGCTAAAATTGAAAGTCAGATAGAGGAATTGAGGCAAGAAGCTGCTGAGAGGTAATCTTCATTTTCCTTCAATAAAATGTTTTGGACATTTTCTGNGAAGATGTGATTTTAAGGAAATGTTATGGCCTGTGTGATTGTGTGGCTTTAATTTGGACTGCAGAATCACCCTATGCTTGCGAAAGAGTACGAGCGTGTGAGAGCTGGGAAGCCGCCTGTGATTCTTGATACGACACGGTATCAATTGGAAATGCTGCCTGTGAATAAGAGAAACGATGAATCTGCTTGGAAGCAGGCACTTCAGAAGGCTCAGCGCTTGTCACAGCATCAAGTGATCAGGTGAGATGAAGAATTCACTAAAAAAGGCAATATGTATGCAATGACATTTGGGTGTTGTTAATGTTCATCTCAAGTTTGGTAAGAAGATGTGGATTCATATCATATAGAAAAATGCATTATCTTTGATTATGTATCAATAATTATTGTTTAATATTTCATATACGCAACTTGTCATTGTAGTTATAATTTCTATTCAGTAGTGTTTAAAATTTGAGTATTTCCTTTGGAATTTTTTATTACTTTGGATGGTTTGTTCTTTCTTACCCATATATTATGTTGCCTCCTTAACTCCACTAATTCCACCGGGCATGCATGATTTTCATATTAGAACAGTGGCATCTCTATATGTTTCTTATTAGTTTGTATTTTTTTATTATTGACATCCTGGTATATGGATTGTTGATTTCTAGGCTGGAAAATTTGGAATTGATGTCTAAATATGGTCCTGATGTCTGGAAGCAGCACAACCAACAATTAGAAGCATTCTTATCCAGGTTTGTAGTTTGTATTATTGCTCATCTTTGGGAAGTTTTATGGTGTAATAATTAAGTTGTTACGCTGTAAATGTTTTATTCTGGTGCACTTTTCAATGTTTCCTGATGTGCTTGACACTAGCTTTTGCATTTTGGAAATCTGAGGTTTTAATTTAATATATTCCTATCATCAACAGCATACCTTTACATAACTAGAATCCTAATTTGAGGAAACTAACTATATTAATCTGAATCAACTGATGTCCAATACAAGAAACTCATCTAAACTCCACTCGCCATTGTACAAGAAATGAAAATGGTAAATCAAAAACGTTAAAGAACACACCATAAGTTTCTCATGTGTGTCAAGTGATGTAGGGATGCTGCTGAAAAGGGTGAAAGAAGTTTAGTTAATGAACTCTAGGAATTTTTTTATGCTAAATGTGTGGTAAGACTGAAATTTTTGTAGAAAACTATATTGCTGTTCCATATCAATAAATTCATTTTGAGAAATGTTTTCTATTAATCTCATCATTCCGCAAATTCAGTAACCAGCCCTTGAAGTTATCTTTCTGAGTTGGTTCTTTGTGATATGATATGACCATTCTAGTGTTGCAATTTACTTTAGCAGTTGCATTTTTTTATTTTTTTATTTTTTTTTTGCAGAATGCAAAGATTAGCGCATGAACAAAATGAAAAGATTGAAGCCGTAAATCGTGAAAGAAAATACCACCAGGTGATTTATATGTCTATCTGACATTGTGGTTCAATACTTTGTTGCATTTTATGTGTGGGTATTAAAAAAAAAGGAAGAAGAAATTACTTTTCTGATCAACCCATATATTTATTTCTTTGAATGATCAGCAAAACACTGCATACGAGTTCAATGCTTTGTCCATGCAATGGAAGGAGCTTTGTGCAAAAAATATAGAAATTCAAGCTGCATGTGCTAAAATTGAAAGTCAGATAGAGGAATTGAGGCAAGAAGCTGCTGAGAGGTAATCTTCATTTTCCTTCAATAAAATGTTTTGGACATTTTTTGGTTTGGAGCTAACTTATTTCTTAATCCTACCTATTCAGAGGTTGGAACTTGGACGTTGATATGGAGAAAGGTTCTTTGTTGCATTAAGGAAGGTAAGTGGTCTTTTGCCCTTGGTTGAAATAGCATTTGATTTAGACCTAAGGCAGTGCTGTGCCATTATTTGGAATAATGTAGTTGTGCAAGATGTTCTAGTCTATTAATGTGGTCTGAAAATGATTTTCTGCATTGGGAAATATGATGTTATTTACCTCTCAATGACTCGAATCATTTACCATGACTGTTTGATCAATAAGTGGATTTATGCCTCTGGTTCTTTGTTTACTGGTTGTGTTACAGGGTCCCATTGGAAAGTTGAGGAGCATACAAGTAAAGTGGTGTGTAACCAAGAAGTGGTCTCCATTTTCCGTCATGATTCTGCAGTTTTGGTTCATTACAAATTCCTGGAAGACCTTTAGGTACAAGATTAGTTGCTTTCAGTTTTATTCTAGTTGTTTGGTGAGATCTGTTGTATCTCAATGTGATTGTTAAAGTTAAAAGTGAATTTCATTATGTGCCTACATAGAGAAGTCAAAATGCAGATATGTAATTTGGATTTTGGGCCTTGCTATGAATATGAAACATTAGCTCATTTATTACATTGTTTTTTGGTCTTTATGTTCCTTTTTTTCAGGTCTTTTGTAATTTAGCTACATCTACTTTGATCAAAAGAAATGTCAGTTTACATTAGATGGCTTAATTATGTGGTTGCTGCAATGGTAATTGTATTGGTTGAACTTGAATGTGGTCTATTAATTGGTATTGAAATAAGATTTTTCTAACATTTTCCACCAAGTGGTCCATTTTTGTTCAAAGATTTAAGGAGTATGTGATTATACAAATATTTTATATTATTTATTGATTTTTAATATAATTTTAAATAATAAACATTATATTCCCTTCATGGAAGAATAATGAATTTCCGTTCATAAAAGTTAATGTTAAGATGAATGAAATACTCATTTAACCTTACGGTTAAAATTTACGAACGTTAAAAAATCATTTCATATATTTATTAAACAACATAAACTTGTAAGCCATGAATTAATTTCAAACATATGAAAGTGTGGTGGTGCAGCGATGTTTAAAGTGGTGGCAGTGGGTAGAATGTTTTAGAAACTGAAATTACTTTTGTTCTAGGTATTGAGTTGAATGTGGCTAGAGACTAAAAATTGGTTTCACCTACTTCCACGCAGTTAATTATGTACATGCTTTGTGTTGTTGTATACTCTTGTATGTTGTGTTCATAAATCTATAAGGTTCGTTTGGTTTGTTATTTTGGATAGGATTTTTAAAATAGTATTGGGTAGTTGAATAGGGTGATTATTACGAGATAAAATTTAAAAATTAACAAAAAAAACCTCTTAGGTTTGCTAATTTAACTACACACCTCAATATATAAAAAATTTGTAAAATGACAAAAACACTCTCACCCACCCACAGTGCCGGATTCCGGCCACCACCGTCAGAATCCGGTTGGAATCTCCCGTTACGATGCAGATCGATCGGATCTGGCGGGTCATGCATTGATTTGGCTTTTTCCAGCCACATCCACCACGGATTTGGCCGGAGAAGGCCAAATGGCCGTCATTGTTGGTCAACGACGACTAGATCAGCGAATTACTGACCAGTTTCAGTTGTTTCTACACCGTTGTGATAGATTTTGGTTACCACTGACGGTGGTTGCCGGAATCTGACAACTATGGATGGGTGCAGGTGTTTTTATTAATTTATAAATTTTTTTGTTGGGGGTGTTTCTATCAATTAACAAAATTTGGGGGGTTTAAATAGTTTTTTAATTTATGATAGAATTTTGAAAATAAGGATAACAAACATGCATTTGTATTTGGAATAGATATAGAATATGGGTAAATATTAAACCAAACGGACCCATAGTGAATTTCTCTTGTCATGGATGTAGATGGATTATGCTAAACTACTTAAATATTGTCTCTTTGTATGTCGTGATTTTAATGGAGCGATGTAGTGATGTTATCAAATCTAATTACCCTTGCAAGACTAGATCGCAACTACAATTTTTTTTTTTTTTTTTAAGGTGATTGGAGTGTTAGGATTAGTTTGCGCGTATCTTAACTAATCCGTCAGGGTCTTGAAGTTGACAGCTAGATAAATCTCTTCAGTGACTACCTTATTAGCAATTCAAATAGATCGAAGACCTCTTAAATAGTACATCTAAGAGTCGACATGGGACATAGACCACCAGTGATGGTTACGACAACTACAATTTTTGTTCCGTAGTATTTGGAAATCTGTACATACATTTTTTTTTTTTTTTTTTTGGGTTTATTTCCGTTATTGGTTGAACTTGTCATTATGCTATGAGTAATTCTACAATCACCAAAAATAATACACCAAATTTATGTATCGAATAATGTAACACAATCTTGATCATCGATTAATTTTAAGTTATAATCAACCAATAGTCAAAATTTCGATTAATTTTAAGTTATAATCAACCAACCATCAAAATTTCACTACACTACTCCCGTGTCTCTATTATTTTCCTTATGTTATATAGGAACGAATTAGAATCAATGATTTCAGTATAATATTTTGTAACTTGAATTTCATTTTATTTGTTCCTATTTTTATTTGATTCTAATTATTTGATTAATGAATAACCTGTCTCTGATAAAATAAATTGACCCAAAATCCTTCAACTACGAAATTTTATTTGATTAATCAAACTCAGTAGTTCCAATCTTAAGTTGTAGGATTTGCCAAAAACCATATCATCAAACTGATCATATTTTGGTCATTTGAAACATTATATACATTTGTAATAACAACTCACTTATTCCCTTAACAAAAATAAATATAATCAAAACATTATAACATCAGTGATAAATGTAATAACTCGATCATCATACATCTCTCAACTCAACCAACATTTGACCAAAACCATAAACTTTACTTCGCAAAAAGCTTAGTACTCTTCAGTGCCAACTGAAATGAACAAAATGGTTATTGTATTAATTAGCAAAACAGTCATTAAAAGCTGCAACAAAGATCAAGATAATACACTACTCCAGAATAAAAAAAGGCATTTATTTCTAATTCGAATACATAACAAAGTCATAACCCTAATTCCAACAACTAATTAATTCAATAGCCCTTCTGACTGTTTTGCTAATTAATTGTGCAGTAGTAGTTCACAGATCCACGAGAAATAGGTTTAAATTATCAGCTTCAAATTGTGGCTCCTGAATCAACTCGATCCCAAAGCTTCCACAAAAAGAATGGATCTGCAAAAGAAAAAAAAACATTGACCTAAAACAGCATTAAAAAAAATCAATACCTGAAGAGGTTAAATGTATAGATATATATATAGAGAGGAAGAAAGTAATTAAGAAGGAGAAGTGTAGAGCTCCCTTCAATCCAAACAAGGATCTAACATAGGGTAATGCAGCTCCTGGGATATGCAAGCCACAAGCCTATCTTCCAATAACGGGGGGATAGGGCTGTGGGATCCATAGCTCAGCAGCTCAATCAACCCTGCAACACCCTCTATTGGACTTCAAGCAAGTGCAGGTTCTGGGTAGGTTCCGGTTCCGGTTCCGGTTCTTACCCCCGGTTCCGGTTCTACCCGCTACCCGTGCTCACCCCTAGATAAAACTCAAACCTTTTAAATAATACATTCAAAAGTCATAACTACTCAAGTGATAAAACTCAAGATCTTTTAAGTAATATATCTAAAAGTCTTAGTTGACTGGTGATACAACTCAGGACTTTTTAAATAATACATCCAAAAATCCTAACAACTCGGGTGATAAAACTAAAGACCTTTTAAGTAATACATCTAAAAATCTTAGTTTACTGGACTACTCAGTGATTGTTATGACTACAATTTTTGTTCCATCAGTGTTTACAAACCTGGACATACTTCTTTTTTTTTTTTTTTTTTTTGGGTTTATTTCCGTTATTGTAGAACTTGTCATTGTGTTATATGGACGACATTTTTCTTTTTGTTTATTTCCTTTATTGTTTGAACTTGTGATTGTGTTAATAGGAACGAAATAGAGTCAGAATCAGTGATTTCAGTATAATGTTTCGTAATTTGAATTTCATTGTATTTGTTTTTATTTTCATTTGATTCTAATTATTTGATTAATGAATAACCTGTCTCTGATAAAATAAATTGACCCAAAATCCTTCAACTACGAAATTTTATTCTTTTAATCAAAACTCAGTAGCTCCAATCTTAATTTGTAGGATTTACTAAAAACCATCATCCAACTGATTACATTTTGGTAATTTGAAACAATATATATATCTGTAATAATAACTCACTTATTCCCGTAACAATAATAAATATAATCAAAACATTATAATATCGGTGATAAATGTAATAACTCGATCATCATACATTTCTCAACTCAACCAACATTTGACCAAAACCCTAAACTTTACTGCGCAAAAAGCTTAATACTTTTTCAGTAACAACTAAAACGAACAAAATGGTTATTGTATTAATTAGCAAAACAGTCATTAAAAGCTGCAACAAAGATCAAGATAATACACTACTCCAGAATAAAAAAAGGCATTTGGGAACCGGAACGGAACCACAGTACAGGTTCCCAAAAAAGGAACCGGAACCGGAACCGCACAGTACAGGTCTTCAATTCAAGGAACCGGAACCTAAATGCAGGTTCCGGTTCCTTTCCAGGTACCCTGTAAAAAATCAATTACCCCCCTATTAGTTTAAAATAACAAAAACACCTTATAGTTTACAAATACACCCCTAACAATTTTCGTTATTCATTCATTTGTGTCCAATGTAACTCATAACCTGTAATCTCTAAGCAACGCTGAATTCAATCAATTCATCACAATTCACATAAAATACTTCACCAAAATCATTTAACAAACAACAATTCTTATACTAATTACTAACATGCCATTTGCCAGGGGTCTATTTGATAAGTTAATAATTATTAGTGTTATAAATTTATCATTTAATGTTATAATTGATTAATTGTGTATTTATATATACCAAATATAATTTAGTAAATTTAATATTAGAAACAAGTAATGTTATAATTAAATAAGTGATCAACTCAATGTAAATTGTAATGTTATAATTAATTAAGTGATTATACTACAATGTAATTGTAATGTATATTAATTAAGTATATGTTTATATTATAAGTATATTATAATTAATTAAATTGTTATTAATCATTTAATTAAGTATTAATATTGTTATAATAGAATGCTATAATTAATTAAATAATCATACCATAAATTTATAATATAATGTTATAATTAATAAAATTATATAATTCGATTATATGTGCAAATTAGTAAATTACTAATGTTTATAATATAATGTCATAATCAATTAAGTAATAATTTAATTATGTAATGTTATATAATTATATGATCATCTATAATAGTATAATGTAATGTTATAATGAATTAAGTAATTATACACAAATCTATAATTTAATATTAAATTAATTAAATTTCAAATCATTTAATTAATATACTAATGTTTAATGGAATGTTATAATTGATTAGTAATCAATTACAAATATATAAAATAATGTTATAATTAATTAAATTTTTAATCTTTTAA